CTCTGGGTTCAATCCTCTGCACCACATAAAAATAAACAAAATAAAACTATTGTGTCATATATATATATATATATATATAGATAGATAGATAGATAGATATACACACACACACACACACACACACACACACACACACATATATATTAAATCAGTAGAGGAAAGGGAACAGAGTGGGAGGATGGGAGGAAAATGGGAAATACTGGGGCCTGAATTAGAACAAATTATATTCTGTGCTTTTCTAATTATGTGAAAATGAATTCTATTGTTATGTATAACTTAAAAAAATATATGAATAAGTTCACAGTATTTAAAAAAAAAAAAAAGAAGAAGAAGAAGAAGAACTGGGCTGCCCTCTTGCGGTCTCTCCGGTGTCAGAGCTTCAAGCAGCCCACAGTCCCCGGGTCTTACTTCCTCTTACTCCCTTTCCATTGTTCTCTTTAAATATTGCAGGGGGCAACAAATAGTGATGTCTGTTACTTTTGAGACTCTTTAAATTCTGGACCTGTCTCCCTCCCTCCTTCAAAGTCTTTCGAATCCTCTCCAATGGACAAATAAACTGAAGCCGAAGAAGCACGGCCTTGGAGCTCAGGGGTTTTCACACTCAGTTCCCTTTGCTCAAAATCCGATAATTCAGGGCACAGGCCTGAAGAACCGAGGCAGAAAAGTCAGGCAGCACCGAGTTCGGCTTTGACCTCTGCAGTCTTGGCGGGCTGGCATCAGAGCTGGTAACGTGCGTGGCAGGTTATGTAAGGAAAGGGCTGCAGGAGCCGCCCCAGCGGGAGCCCGGGAGAGCACGCCGTGTTCTCGGCCGCCGTCCCCACCCTCCTCACCCAGCAGGGCAGGAGGCACCCAACTCGGAGGAGTGAGAACGGGGAGGTGAAACAGAGCAGGGAGTCACGAGGGCTGAGACGCGGAGACTGGGAGCGGTTACACGGTGTCACACAGCCGTTCGCTCACACACGTTGCTGCACAAGTAACTGACGGGTTCCACGTGCTGTGCTCGTGAGCGGAGGCGCTCACCGAGGGGGCAGACGTGTCAGCCGGGGAGGCAGAACCCTGGGTCCCACGCCCCGAGGCACGCGCTTCCCGTCTGACATCCATCCGCCGAACATCCAGCTGCGAGTCTCCTGCGCATCATTATCCTATTTAAGGCCCAGGGCTCCGCCCTTTTTCTCCCCTTCCTACTTTTTCACTCTTTTTTCCATCCTCCTCCTTTTCTCCTCACCGGGTCCTCTCCGGGAGCCGCATGTAGGGGCGGAGCACGGAATGCTTCCCTTCCAGCCAATCGGCACCTGACTGCTTCTTTATTGGCCGAGCCCCTGTGAGCTGTAGCCAATGGGCTGTGAACTTCACTAACGGGAGTCACGTGTTACCGGCTAGCCAACCAATGAGGATGCGAAATCGGTGTACGCAGGGGGAGGCACGTGCCGAGCCGCACGTGTCCGGGAGGGGGGAAGGGGCGGGACCCACAGAGAGTGGGGCGGAGGTGGGTAGCCCAGACCCAGAGAGACTGAGAAGCAGCCGGAGCCGGAGCCGGAGCCGAGAACGAGCCGATCGACCCAGGTAAGGAGACTCAGAGGGCTGTGAGGGAGCCGTGGAGAAGGCTGGGGCCGGGGGGGGGAGTGGGTTTGGGTGAATGCGCGCAGATGTGGGTATTGGTAGGGATTGCATCACCTGGCCGGCGCGACTGTAGATCCCTTGATCAGGGATATTGATCAAGACAGATTGGGGAAGGTTAGGAGGTCGGTCCCTGTGGGGGCGATTTCCACAGGGACGCTAGGTAGGTTAGGTAGGTTCAGGTGTGCAGATTTACACTCGCCGGTGGCTGGCCTCAGACGCCAACGGCGAGGTCGAGCTGGGGAACAAACCAGGAGAACAGCAGAGGAGGGGAAGGTGTCCGAACCGAGGGAAAAGAACAGAGGATGTTTCAGGCCCAGAGCTGATCGGCAGAGGCCAGAGAGGCAGCCCCAGTTTTTTCATGGGTGGGGGTAGGGGAGGTGACTTTTTCTATTGTCTCTATTGGGCAGGGGAAATAGAGGTGTTATCCCGTGCAGTACACCTCCGTCTCCCCGTCCGTTTCCTGATCCTTAGACTCTGGTTTCCAACTCCCTCGCTTTGCTCTTCAGTTGCAGGTTCGGATCTTTGGGTACTCCAGGACCTGCTCTCCAGCCCCTGCTTCTGGACCTATGGATTCTCCATCTAGTGTTTCTTCTTATTCCTCCTCCTCTCTTTCTCCCTCTTTTTCCACCTCCCCAGTGAACGGTGATTTTGGCTTCCCCTCCGATAGTGAGAGGGAGAACAAGGGGTCCCAAGGGCCCAGGCCAGACACTGTTGGGCAGAGGGGATGTTTCCGACCTAGCCCGGGTCCTATCCGCTGTAGGCATCGTTGCAAGGTTTCCAGTAACCAACATACAGCATCTCATCTGGAACAGCGAGGCTTGACTTCTCCTATGGCAGAATCTGGGATCAAAAGATCAAGAGATGGTGAATTGGAAACCGTTGTAAACATCCAGGGTTGTACCACGGAGGGAGACCTGCTCTTTGCTCAGAAGGTAGGAGAAAGGAAATGATAATGCTAAACACTCAACTGGTTAGGACCTTAAGAGGATAGTACTGACTCCCAAATTTGGAAGCAGAGGAAATATGGCTACTCACATGGACAATTCTTGGTCTTCTCATAGCCTCTGTCCTATTTTCCTACAGTGTAAAGAGCTCCAAGGATTCATTCGCCCCCTCACGGATCTACTGAATGGGCTGAAGATGGGTCGTTTTGAGAGAGGTAATTGCCTGATTATTTGCATTATTTTGGACTAGGTTCCCACCTTAGTATCTGTCTCTCTTGAATGTGTATATCTCTAAAGTCTTTATTCAGAGCCTGAATTGTTCCTTTTTTTGCATTTGTGATTTATTTAATTCCTTTAGGCAAATCATTTTAACCCCTTCTGCCTTCCTTTATCTTACTACAGTATTGAATCTTGGTCCTTAATCTTTCTGTCTGACTCCAGGATTGAGCAGTTTCCAACAGAGTGTGGCAATGGACAGGATCCAGCGCATTGTAGGTGTTTTGCAGAAGCCTCAGATGGGGTAAGTCCACCTGATTCTTTCCCCAGTACCATATAAAAAGGAGATCTCTCCAATCCTTTCTTGTTTCTTTTTTAATACTTGTTTTGTTTTAATGTCCTTTTCATAGGGAGCGTTATCTAGGAACCCTGCTACAAGTAGAAGGGATGTTGAAGACTTGGTTTCCTCATATAGCTGCCCAGAAGTCATCACTGAGTGGTAGCAGGCACCAGATGGCCAAGGTAAGAACTTAAACCCTAACAAAGAAGCAGGAGAATAATGGAGGAAAGGGAATATTCATGCATTTTCTTCTGGATCTTTTCCTCAAGTTTCTCTTAGGAAAGGAATGCCTAAACTTCCTGCATTGTCTTAATTCCTAGATGATTTTTGTTCTATTTTGTTTGGATCACTAGGCAGAACTCCACAAAGTTTAATCCTATCCCTCATGTGGCAGTGAATCTGCTTTCTGTACAGATACAGAAGGCGTTTTTTTTTACCTGGACAAATTATTCATGCAGGAAGATGCCTCAGCTTCTTTCTGTAAACTCTTTCTTCCTTGCTGCCCCTAAAACTCTCGCCCTCTCCCTCTTTTGACTCCAGTACAAGTATCCTTGTATCAAATCCTCTGGAGGCCTGTAAGTCTACACTGGGTTTCACGGACTGGTCATAAGAGGTATATCACTGGGAATCCGGGAAAGGGCACCTATGGGGCATCCATGAGAAGAGTGTTGAATAGATTCTTGGACCTGGTGTGGAAGTGACCTTTTTTTTGTGCATTCAAATAACAGGATATTTAGAGGGCATTCAAGTAATGGGGGGGGGGTGTCCTTGATAATGACCTATCCTTGTGTTCAATCAATAGCAGTTACTAATGCTGTGAAAATAACTTGATTAAAAAATGAGTAGAATTATTTGGGGTTATAGCTTAGTGGCAGAGCACTAGCCTAGCATGCGTGAGGCACTGGGTTCAATCCTCAGCACTACATAAAAATAAAACAAATGAAATAAAGGCATTCTGTCCCATCTACAACTACAAAAAAAAAATTTAAAAAACAAGCTGGCTGCAGTGGCTAAGGCCTGTAATCTCAGCAGCTCAGGAGGCTGAGGCAGGAGGATTTCAAGTTTAAAGCCAACCTCAGCAACTTATTGATGCCCTAGGCAACTTAGTGAGACCCTGTCTCTAAATAAAACATTAAAAAGGACTGGTGATGTGGCGCAGTTAAGTGGGTTTAATCCCTGGTACTGAACAGAAATAAATAAGTAGAGGGATCTTGCCTGAATATTAATTTATACTTCATAAAACATTCAACATAAAAAATTAGAATTTAAAATAGAGGGCTGGGGCTGTGGCTCAGAGGTAGAGCACTCACCTAGTAGACATGAGATACTGGATTTGATCCTAGCACCACATAGAAAATAAAATATATTGTGTCCACCTATAACTAAAAAAAAAATTAACAATAAAAATAAAATATAGAAATTGTGGAATGATGTTTTCAATTAAAAATCCACTTTTTTTAAAAATAGTTAGGCACAATACTACATGCCTGTAATCCTAGCTACTCAGAAAGCAGGGGCAGGAGGATCACAAGTTTGAGGCCAGCCTTAGCAAAAACAAAACAACTTTTCTTTAAATAAATTCTACATTGGGTGTGGTGGAACATGTCTATAATCCCAGCTACTGGGGAGGCTGAGGCAGGAAGATCTCAAGTTTAAGGCTAGCCTTAGCAATTTAGCAAGGCTCTCAGCAACTTAATGAGACCCTATATAAAAAAAATCATATATATATATATATATACATACATAAATATATATATATATATATATATATATATATACATACACATAGACACACACACATACATACATACATACATCTGAAAGGAATTGTTTTATAAATAGTGAGAATCTGTAGGACTATTTGTTGAATATCCAGTGTCTTATATAGTATGTGGCACATAGTAGGCTCTCAACTATTTGCTGAATAAATGAAAGTATAACTTGATTACTAAAAATTTTGCTTAGTATGTTCTTGCCAGGTAAGAACACATTATCTGTTGCACAAACAAGGTATGTTTGCACTGCAAACCGAGTTACCAAAGAAAGCAAAGTTTTAAACAATAATGTTGGAATCAGTCTGAAAACTTTCTTCACAGTTTTTTTCTTATTTCACTCCTTCCCTAGCATTTTCCAAACCACCACAGTAATGAAACTACTTCCTCTTCTGCTCCTCCTCTGGAAAAGATGGGCCCGACACAGCTGGGACATTTAGTTTTTAAACCAAAGCAGCCTTGGCACCTCACAGAATGGCCAGCTATGAACCTCACCTGGATCCACACCACCCCTATTTGCAACCCCCCTCTAAGTTCCCCGGGTACCGTATCTTTTAGCCATGATCCTGTAGGCACTGGGACCAGCATTGGTGTCATCCTTTTCGTCCAGCATGGAGTGCAGTCCTTCACCCACTCTGCTCCTGCCACTCCAGTTCCATCCACTACAGCATCTACTGGTGATCCGAAGAGACTGTCTGGAGAGGGACCTCGTTGTCACAGTTTGCCAGTAACCCTGCCGACAGACTGGGACTGCACTGTGTCCTCTGCTGGTCTACCCACTATGGCCAGTGAGATGCACAAAGGACACCTAGAGGAGCAGCTGAAAAGCTGCCCTCCAGTTGTTTCTGATGCCTGTCTCCTCAGCCCCTAACCCACCCATGCAGTTGTCCTCTGTGATCCCCAATTTGTGTAAATATATGTACATATAGATTTTTTACTTTTAATGTGTGTGTTTGTGTTTAGAGGAGATAAATCCTTTCTGATTAAATAAATTATTTACCTAAACACTTTGAGGTACATTGAAAACTTTCTGCCTCACATACCGATCTTTATCCTCCGAGTTGCAGAAAAGACGAGATGGGAATGTTTGTGAGTATGAGCTCCACCAAGTTAGAGTCTGGATGGGATGATAGAAATCTGGGGGAGAAGTAAAGAGACTCCTGCTGCTGTTTTCTGAGGGAACAGCCTTAGGACAGTTACAGGATTCAAAGTTGGGTTTCCTTTTATTTTTTTTCAGGTTCAGAGATTACTACCTTTCCCTTTGTGTCTCTCCCCTGTGTAATCTTTTAGCAGGTTCTTCTGCTCTGGGATATCTCTTTGCTTTGATGGGAGATGTTGGTGCTTATGGATAAATGCATAACCTTGTGCTGCCAGAGGGGGGGCCCAAGAGCCAAAACAACTATTGCTGGAGTAGCTCAAAGTCCCTTCAAACACTGGGCCTCAAAGAACAAACAAACAAAAAACCACTGGGCCTCATCTTTATTCAAAACACTGCACCTGCTAGGTGTAACTAGACTAAGGAAGGCTACCCATTATCTTCAGGAGGCAAAAATTAAGTCCATGAATATATATGTTTCTACCCTTTTCTCAATATTACTCTATTTCTGATCTTTCCCAATTTCCACGAAAACTATTTCCTTTCCATGATTATTTCCCAATAAGTAAAATCAGGTCTCTCCACTTTGAAAACATTTGTTGAGCCCTGCATGGTAGTGTACTCCAACAACTCCTAGCAACTTGGGAGGCCAAGGCAGGAAGATCACGAAACCAGCTGGTGATTTAGCAAGACTCTGCCCCGCTCCCCAAAAAAGGCCTGGGTATATGGCTCAGTGGTAGAGTGCCCCTGGGTTTAATTCCTTCAAAAAGAAGGAAGGAAGGAAGGAAGACATCTTCAGTCTGATGGTCTTCTTTCTCTTCCTTTCTCCATAATTTTCCCAAGTCCATAATCCTTCCCCCTTCCTGGTACTGGGGATTGAACCCAGGTCCTTACATGTGCTAGCAAGTACTCCATCATTGAGCTCCATCCCCAACCCTTTTTATTTTATTTTGAGACAGAGTCTTGCAAAGTTTCCAAGGCTGGCCTCCAACTAATGATCCTCCTGCCTCAGCCTTCTGGCTTGTTGGGATTACAGGTGTGTCCCATCATTCCTGGCTCCACTACATTTAGTTTGTTGCACCTTCCAGAGTCACCAATGATCTCACAGAACCAGTATTATAATGCAGCTTCCACCTAATCAACAGCTTAGTCCAGGGTCCTTTACCAAGGGTATGTACTTCATGTTCTCTGTATCATTTGACACTCGATTCTGCCTACTGAAACTCTCCTCCCTTGGATCCCATGACAGCACACTATCCTAATTCTCCTCTTACCTAACTGGCAGCAAGTTCTGAGTTTCTTAATGGCTCCACTTGCACCTAATACAAAGTGTGTGGTTTCTCCTAGGTTCAGACCATAGCCTTTTTCTCTGACTATATTCTTTCACATAAAAGTTTCATTTTCTTTCATGGGTTTAATTATTGCCTCAATTTTAATGAGTGCTAAATCTCCATTTTCATTCCCAACCTTTCCCATAAGAAGGCATTCGAATATATAAATTTCTGTTGGACAGTTTTATATATTGCTGGCACAAAATTATTGAACACATCAGCATTCTAGATATAAGATGCAATTTTTGTATCTAATTCAACTTAATGCCCTTATTTTATAGATAAGAAAACAGATGTGTCTAAGCCAACAATGTGTGGTACAGAATTCTTAGTTTCCAGTCTCATGCTTTTTCCAGTGATGGCCAATAAAATTACTTCCCATTTTTATAATCTCCTCTCCAGTTAGTGCTATCTAGGGTAGTAACATTTTTCTAGTTAACTAGGCTTAAAACTTGGTACCATTTGGTCACCAGGTCCTTTTTGTTCTTTATTTGAAATATTTCTTCCATTTCTTCCTATCCATTCCATTGCCATCACTCTATTTTCCCTATAGCAAAAGTCTCTCTTACCTCTAATACCTTTTCAGTGATAAACAGATTAATTTTCCTAGAACCATGCTTTGCCTGTCCTTCCTTTATCATCAAGTCCTTCAATTTCTCCCAATGTCATGAGAAGAATGTACAAAATATTTAGTCAAAATCTGTATTTTTTTCCTCTGCTCCCCTGCACAATCCTTCTGCTCCAGAATCTATATTGTACACCCTTCTTGCTTCTAAACGCTTGTTCATGTGGTTCACTTTGCCCACCTTTTCAGTTTCTGTTATCCAAGCCCTACTCTTCATTCAGTGACTAATTCAAGTCCCTCTCCCATTATTTATATTCACTTGCTTGTTTACTTATTTATTTATTTATACTGGGAATTGAACTCAAGGCACTTTGTCATTGAGCCACCCTGAGATGAGGTCTTGCTAAACTGCTGATGCTGGCCTTGAACTTGTAATTCTTTTGCCTTAGGCTCTCTAGTAGCTGGAATTGCAAGTGTGGGCCACAGCCTCCAGCATCATTCTTCCTGTTAAATATGCTATACACAGTAAATACACTGTATCTTTTTACATTTGACCCTTTTGACTCCTATGAGAAATTTTGATAGATTGATAGTGCAGATTCTAATGCTGTTTTATAGATGAAAAAATAGACTGAGTTCACTTTTTTGTGTGTGTGATGCTGAGAATCAAACCCAGGGCCTTGTGCTTGCTAGATAAGTGCACTACCACTTAGCCACATCCTAAGCCCTAGACTGAGTTCAAATCTGGCAGAAGCCAAATAGTAAATATTTTAGGTTTAGGCCATATATACCTGGTTCCCCTACCCAAGTCTGTCATTGTAACCCAAAGTAACTATACTTAATAAATACACAATGAGCATATACTTCCAATACTTTTATTTACAAAAAGAGACGGGCTGGTTTGGCCTGCAGTAGTTTACAGACTTGATTGATTGGTTGGTTGATTTGTCTTGTGTGTGCTCGCCTGCGCTGAGGACTGAATCCAGGGATGCTTTACAACTGAGCTTCAACCCAGACCATTTTTATTTTTGAGACAGGGTCTTACTAAGTTGCTAAGCTCTTGCTAACTTACCCAGGTTGGTCTCAAACTTTCGACCCTCCTGCGCATGCGTTCTAAATTGCTGGAATTACAGAAGTGTGATACCATACCCAGCCAAACCCCTGATTTAAGTGACTTGTTCAAAGCCTAATGTATGATGAGTATCTTCTTTTTTTTTTTTTTTTTTTTTATTTTTTTTTTTTTTTTTTTTTAATATTTATTTTTTAGTTCTCGGCAGACATAACATCTTTATTGGTATGTGGTGCTGAGGATCGAACCCTGGCCGCACGCATGCCAGGAGAGCGCACTACCGCTTGAGCCACATCCCCAGCCCTGATGAGTATCTTCTAATCCAGTATCTTTCCATCATATTATGCTGTTGTCTATGTAATTTATTTTGCATATGTTATGTTACCTTGTTTCACTATTTATCTTTTATGTCCACATACTGTCTTTTAGTGATGCAAGAAGCACTGGAATGATACCAACAGTACTGGGAACAGAGTAAGCATTCAATAAAAAGTTTGTGATAATCATAATGATAACCCAGTCTAGCTATATTTTGGTACTTTGGACCTGGATTACTCTGAAGTAGGTTTAAGGGATTTTTTTTTTTTTTTTGGTAGTACTGGAGACTTGAGTCCAGAGGTCCTCCACCACTGAGCTACATTCTCAGCCCTTTATTTTGACACAGAGTTTCACAAGTTGCTGAGGCCTTGAACTTGCCATTCTCTTGCCTCAGTCTTGGGACCCACTGGAATTCAGGTGTGTTTCCCCACACCTGAATAGGCTTATGTTTTTGTATGAGTTCCTGTTAGTATAGTTGATGAGGTGTCTCTCTCTATGAATTCTAGATGAGTTATGTTTTCCCTGTAATCTTTAGATCTGAACTTACATGAATAACCATAAACAGATATGTAGAAATAATATACAAATAAATAATTCCACAATGTGGAAGAAAATATTTCTAGCAGGTCTTACTAGGAGTCAAATGGCAAAACCGACATACAACATTTTTTATTCTAAATCCTGCAGGCATTTCCCATGTCTTTATTTAGTGATTTCTCTTAATTTAGTGAAATGGTTAGAAAGATGTTATAGTAGATTCACAGTATGTTCACTTTTTCTCGCCCACTTTCCCTTAGTTTCGAGGCAGACGAAGGGTATGAGGTTGTTTTTCTTCGGGGACGGAGGGCAGATCTATGTTCTTGCCCCCAAAAAAACAAACAAACAAATAAAAAAACCCACAACAACAACCGGGAAGCATGCTCAGGAAGCGTTGCCTATTTCTCATTCTCCATCCAGGAATGTGAATGGCTTGAATATTATGGGTTCAGTAGGATCAAGGGGAACGGACTCGGTAGAGGGCTGGGAACGTGTTCCGGCGAAATCTGAGTCCAGCCTTTCGCTCGGTCAGGTGTGGAGTCGAGGCTCGGGGCAAGGAGAGGACGTCCACCTCAGCCTGAAAGCGCGCTGCCATGGTTTCCGGTGCTCGATTCCTCCCTACGCCCCCGGCTTCGCGCGCGGCGCTGGGGATTCCGTAGTTTCCGCTTCCGGTCGCGAGCGCCGGGGGTCGGGCGCCTTCTGAGGTTGCCGGGTGAGGGACTCCCTCCGCGGTCGGGAAGCCTCCGAGGGCCTGGGGAGGGCCTGGGGAGGGCCGGGTCTGCACGGCGGCCCCCTCCCCCACGCCCGGCAGACTCCTTGTCCCCTGAGCGGTCGTTGGACCTGCGGCGCGCCCCTTCCCCGGCTGTCCCCCCGCGCCCGGCGACGCGGCCTCGGTGGCGAAGCCTGGCTACCCTTGGTTTTCCCCGTTTTCTCGGGTTTGTACTAGCAAAGAGAACAAGGGAGTCTTCTACCGATTCTCATGCTCTACGATACAGATACCCTCCGCGTGCCCCGTCTCGCGTGACCCTGAGCACGTTTCCTTTTCAGACCTTGAATAAAGCGCGCGCGGTGACGTGCATTTTGTGGTTCTT